AGCTGTCGCGGCGTATAAAGCACATACGCACATGTTCTTCACGAACTAGTCACAGATCTGGATCTACCTTCAATACTTATCCATCTCTGTAAGTACTTGAACCGTACTCCCGTCCGTGTTCGATATCACGAATGTCCGACTTCACTGTCCGACATGTTCGACTGTTCTTTTATCTGTTAAGATCCCATTTCACCAACATGGTCTTCTCGCACGGCGGAATACTCTGGTCGGGCAATCTCCAAATGCCCTGGCTGGTGGGCCGATGTCAACATGGATCCATCTTCTGACGTCCAAACCTACAATGACATTGCTGTGTTCATCCTGACTGGCCTGAAGGCGTACGACCCTTCACTTGGCGGTTTGATGCCACAGCTTTGGTCCAGCATGCAGAATCTGTTCTCCCTTGGAGATCTCAAAGACGCCGACGATGACAAAGGCTCTTGGGCTCTTCGCGAGTACTTTCTTTGTCTCGCGACACAGTGCCCCACCGTTGTGTTCGATCTTGCAACGGCCCAACGCGTTATCACTACTGACAAAAAGTTGCCTCGCTTTTGGGAATTTTCGCTCGTGTTCGACCCAACATTAATTGTTCGGCATCTGAATTCTTCGCTAATCCTTGGACAGTCCCTGCTATCATTCCTCACATTGTGGAGGAATTTGAGCGACTAAAACGAGAGACAACAATAGCCAAAGCTCAGTCCAAGTTTAAGAAGCGACTCGCATCCACGCCAGCGAACCTGAAAAGTGCCGAGGCACACGATTCTCCTGAGAACCTCAATCCAAGCAATGAACCCATGGAATTTGTTGAAATCGTTTGGCATGCCTTGACAACGGCGTTTCTAACAAAACAAGGTTGGAACCAGAACGAAGAACTTCTCATCTATTTACACACAACAACAATCCTATTTTAAGATGTCTACGCTGCCCATCAGAAGTGGCCACCAACCATGGGCTCGAATGACAACAAATCACAAGAGATGGCTTTGAAATCGACGAGGACTGCACCTGAGCACGCTCAGGAAGGTCTGGAGGCAACAACCCGCTCAAATTCTACCACCCTATTGACGGTTGACCTTATGAAGGACAACCCCTACGAACACAAACTCTCCATGTTGTACAGCAAATTTGTCTTGTTACTTCCTGAAGTTCTTCGATAAGAAGAGAGATTTGGAGACATTTCAAGATGGCGATCAAATTGCAGGAGTGGATGACACAGAACAAGGTTACTTAGAGGAAGCCTTTGATCAGGACTATGAACCTGAAGATGAAGATGAACGTGATTTCAACCTACGTGGGCAATTTGATGATATCGATGACTCCAAAAGAAATGAGCTCTTGGCAGATGCAGACAATGATGTTGATGATATGCCAGAACTTACTGTCAGATTCCAAGGGGATGATGACTATGAATCAGATGACGACGATTCGGATGATGAAGGCGATGAAGAGGAAGAACCTATTGTGGCCGATTTGGATCACCATCAAGAAAATGTTGATAGAGGAACCGATGATATTGGGAGCCTCGTTACTGATCTGGAGGATCTACAAGGACCGCCAGAAGAAGAGATTGTATTTGAGCCTGAAACGCCTCAAGTAGCAAAAGTCACTCGATCTGGGCAAACGTATGCGCAAGCTGCAATGTCTGGGCTGAACCTTTCTCAAGTTCCAAAGAAACAAAGAGAATGGCCTTTGAGCAGGAGTGGCAGTTCTGCCAATAAGAACAAGAATCGAGTTGCGACAAGACGCAAGCATCAAGAGAGGGAAATGAAACCGTTGAAGGACAAATTGAAGTCTGGTACTCGTTCCAATGAAGGAAGTCGCAGTACTAAAGACAGTAAAGCTATCCTTGAAGCACAGCACAATCTATGTTTACAACAGATTGGGAATGAGATGAAAGCTGATTATGAAGAGCACGACGCTATTCTGATCGCTTGTTGCATGATGCAGATCAAGGCAAAGTATGATACTGACAAAGGTCTGAACTTCATCCAACAGTATTACATCAATCAAGGACTGAAGAAGTTTGGTGATGATGGAAAAGATGCTGTGGATAAGGAATTGAGACAAATGCTCCTGAGAGATTGTTTTACTCCCGAATCTGTAAAAGACGGCCCAATCAGCGATGATGTTACTCGCGGAAAAGCAATTCAAAAAGACAATTAAAGGTCGCCTAGTATTCCGAGGCGATGGAACTCGTGAATGGTTATCGCGAGAGGACACTGCAAGTCCAACTGCTTCACAAGAAGCAATCACCACTACTTGTGTTATTGATGCATACGAAGGTAGAGATATAATGACGATGGACGTGCCTAACGCTTTCATTCAAACTTATATGCCTGAAGCTAAGGAAGGAGAAGATCGTATCTACATGAAAATCACTGGCATGATGGTCCAGATATTGAT